ACGCTTTTGCAAAATCACCTCCACATCTTAACCTCAAACACCAACAGAGACCTATATAATAAATTTCATGATTCCAGCCTTATTCCTTCACCCAATACCAATTTTAGTATTACTACGTAGCTTTCTTACAAATATTGGGCGCATTTCCAAAACCACTTCCATATCTTAACCACAGACACCAACAGAGGCATAAATAACAAATTTCAGGATTCCATCCTTATTCCTTAACCCAATACCAAATTTAGTAATATTAAGTAGTTTTCTTGCAAATATAGGGCGCATTTTCAAAACTACCTCTATATTTTAACTTCTGACAACATCAGAGGCCTAAATAAAAAATTGCGGTTTCCTGCCTTATTCTTTTACCCAATACCAATTTTGGTATTATTAAGTACTTTTCTTGCATATAGGACGCATTTCCAAAACCACTTCCATATCTTTACCACACACACCAACAGAAGTGTAAATAACAAATTTCGGGATTCCAGCCTTATTCCTTCACCCAACACCAATTTTAGTATTATTTAGTAGTTTTCTTACATTTTTAGGACGCTTTTCCAAAACTACCTCTATATATTAACTTCTGACTACATCAGAGGCATAAATAAAAAATGTCGGGATTCCTGCCTTGTTCCTTTACCCAATTCAAATTTTAGTATTATTAAGTAGTTTTCTTTCAAATATAGGGCGCATTTCAAAACCACTTCCATATCTTAACCGCAGACACCAACAGAGACCTAAATAACAAATTTCATGATTTCAGCCTTATTCCTTCACCCAATACAAATTTTAGTATTATTAAGTAGTTTTCATACAAATATAGGGCACATTTCCCAAACCACTTCCATATCTTAATCACAGATACCAATAGCAAATAACAAATTTCGGGATTCCATCTTTGTTCCTTCACCCAATACCAAATTTAGTATTATTTAGTAGTTTACGTACTTATATAGAATGCTTTTGCAAAACTACCTCTATATTTTAAATTCAACATCAGAGGTCTAAATATAAAATATTGGGATTCCTTCCTTATTCCTTCACCCAATACCAATTTTAATATTATTATATAGTTTTCTTGCAAATGTAGGGCGCATTTCCAAAACCACTTCCATATCTTAACCACAGACACCAACAAAGATTTTAATAACAAATTGCATGATTCCAGCCTTATTCCTTCACTCAATACCAATTTTAGTATTATTAAGTAGTTTTCTTTCAAATATAGTGCACATTTCCAAAACCACTTACATATCTTAACCACAGACACCAGCAGAGACCCATATAACGAATTTCGGGATTATAGCCTAATTCCTTCACCCAATACCAAATTTAGTATCATATAGTATTTTTGCAAAATCACCTCCATATGTTAACCTCAGACACCAACAGAGACCTATATAACAAACTTAATGATTCCAGCCTAATTCCTTCACCAAATATCAAATTTAGTATCACATAGTATTTTTTGTACAAATAAAGGACGCGTTTGCAAAATCACCTCCATATCTTAACCTCAGACTGCAACAGAGACCTATATAAAAAATTTCATGACTCCAGCCTTATTCCTTCACCCAATACCAATTTAGTATTATTTTGTTGTTTTCTTACAAATATAGGGCGCATTTCCAAAACCACTTCCATATCTTAACCACAGACACCAATAGAGACCAAAATAGCAAATTTCATGATTCCAGCCGTATTCCTTCACTTAATACCAATATTAGTATTATTAAGTAGTTTTCATACAAATATAGGGCACATTTCCCAAACCACTTCCATATCTTAACTACAGACACCAACAAAGACCTAAGTAACGAATTTCGGGATTATAGCCAAATCCTTCACCCAATACAAAATTAGGTTTCATATAGTATTTTTTGTACAAATATAGGACGCGTTTGCAAAACCACCTCCACATCTTAACCTCAAACACCAACAGAGACCTATATAACAAATTTCATGATTCCTGCCTTATCCCTTCACCCAATACCAAATTTAGTATCATATAGTTTTTTTGTACGCATTTCCAAAACCACCTCCATATCTTAATCACAGATACCAATAGCAAATAACAAATTTCGGGATTCCATCCTTGTTCCTTCACCCAATACCAAATTTAGTATTATTTAGTAGTTTACGTACTTATATAGAATGCTTTTCCAAAACTACCTCTATATTTTAAATTCAACATCAGAGGTCTAAATATAAAATGTTGGGATTCCTTCCTTATTCCTTCACCCAATACCAATTTTAGTATTATTAAGTAGTTTTCTTACAAATATAGGGCACATTTCCAAAACCACTTACCTATCTTAACCACAGACACCAACAGAGACCTAACTAACGAATTACGGGATTATAGCCTAATTCCTTCACCCAATACCAAATTTAATATCATATAGTATTTTTTATACAAACATAGGGCGCATTTCCAAAACCACTTCCATATCTTAACCTCAGACACAAACAGAGACCTATATAAGAAACTTAATTATTCCAGCCTAATTCCTTCACCAAATATCAAATTTAGTATCACATAGTATTTTTTGTACAAATAAAGGATGCGTTTGCAAAATAAACTCCATATCTTAACCTCAGACGGCAACAGAGACCTATAAAAAAAATTTCATGATTCCAGCCTTATTCCTTCACCCAATACCAATTTTAGTATTATTTAGTGGTTTACGTACATATATAGGGCGCATTCCCAAACCCACTTCCATATCTTAACCACAGACACCAAAAAAAACCTAAATAACAAATTTCGGGTTTCCAGTCTTGCTCCCTCACCCAATACCAATTTTAGTATTATTAAGTAGTTTTCTTGCAAATATAGGGCGCATTTCCAAAACCACTTCCATATCTAAACCACAGACACCAACAGAGATCTATATAACAAATTGCATGATTCCTGCCTTATCCCTTCACCCAATACCAAATTTAGTATCATATAGTATTTTTGTACGCATTTCCAAAACCACCTCCATATCTTAATCACAGATACCAATAGCAAATAATAAATTTCGGGATTCCATCCTTGTTCCTTCACCCAATACCAAATTTAGTATTATTTAGTAGTTTACGTACTTATATAGACTGCTTTTCCAAAACTACCTCTATATTTTAAATTCAACATCAGAGGTCTAAATATAAAATTTTGGGATTCGGTCCTTATTCCTTCACCCAATACCAATTTTAGTATTATTAAGTAGTTTTCTTGCAAATATAGGGCGCATTTCCAAAACCACGTCCATATCTTAACCACAGACACCAACAGAGACCTTAATAACAAATTGCATGATTCCAGCCTTATTCCTTCACTCAATACCAATTTTAGTATTATTAAGTAGTTTTCTTTCAAATATAGTGCACATTTCCAAAACCACTTACATATCTTAACCACAGACACCAGCAGCGACCTAAATAACGAATTTCGGGGTCACAGCCAAATCTTTCACCCAATACCAAATTTAGTATCATATAGTATTTTTTTTATACAAATATCGGACGCATTTGCAAAATCGCCTCCACATCTTAACCTCAAACACCAACAGAGATCTATATAATAAATTTCATGATTCCAGCCTTATTCCTTCACCCAATACCAATTTTAGCAGTATTAAGTAGTTTTCTTACAAATATAGGGCACATTTCCAAAACCACTAACCTGTCTTAACCACAGACACCAACAGAGACCTAACTAACGAATTTCGGGATTATAGCCTAATTCCTTCACCCAATACCAAATTTAATATCATATAGTATTTTTTATACAAACATAGGTCGCATTTCCAAAACCACTTCCATATCTTAACCTCAGACACAAACAGAGACCTATACAACAAACTTAATTATTCCAGCCTAATTCCTTCACCAAATATCAAATTTAGTATCACATAGTATTTTTTGTACAAATATAGGACACTTTTGCAAAATCACTTCCATATCTTAACCTCAGACGGCAACAGAGACCTATATAACAAATTTCATGATTCCTGCCTTATCCCTTCACCCAATACCAAATTTAGTATTTTTATGTAGTTTTCTTACAAATATAGGGCGCATTTCCAAACCCACTTCCATATCTTAACCACAGACACCAAAAGAGACCTAAATAACAAATTTCGGGATTCCAGCCTTGTTCCTTCGCCCAATACCAATTTTAGTATTATTAAGTAGTTTTCTTATAAATATAGGGCGCATTTCCAAACCCACTCCCATATCTTAACCACAGACACCAAAAGAGATTCTAGCCTAATTCTTTCACCCAATACCAAATATAAAATCTTTGGGATTCCTGCCTTATTTCTCCACAGACACCAACAGAGACCTATATAAAAAATATCATGATTCCAGCCTTATTCCTTCACCCAATACCAATTTTAGTATTATTATGTATTTTTCTTAAAAATATAGGACGCGTTTCCAAACCCACTTCCATATCTTAACCATAGACGCCAAAAGAGACCTAAATAACAAATTTCGGGATTATAGCCTAATTTCTTCACCCAATACCAAATTTAGTATCATATAGTATTTTTTATACAAACATAGGACGCTTTTGCAAAATCACCTCCATATGTTAACCTGTTAAGTGTTAAGAGCATATGCTCGGCATACTATTAGGCCATCCGACTGTCACAGAGACTTCCAGGGCTAGGGATCTCAACCGCCAATCGAATCCAACACACTAACATTGAAAAGGGACTTTACAACGATTACTCTACTCTATACAAACAAAGAAAAGACTCATCGTACAAGGATCTTGGTGGATTGATCCCGCACTCGCCCACCCTACCTGGGTCCAGTATTTCCACATTGCACATTTCTCAGTTCCCCCTTATACCACACTCTTCGAATCACACACTTACTTCATCCCAACTTCCCCCAAGACACAAATTTAGCAACACATCTTAATAGTTAACGTTACAACAGAATCATTTCTAATTTTATTGAATTAACAAAAACTTAGCTTTCAATATTCTCTTACTGTTTTTCTACTAATTTTTTATATAAAGTTTTTACAAGCTGAATGGTTACAAAAAAGAAATATAATTAAGAATAATATCGGGCTTTCTTGAATCTATGGCTTTCATTACTCGGTGGAAACCAATATATTATTATTTCGCCTTGCTTTTCCCGCGCAATATCCACGCGTCTATACGAACTTACTATCCACCTAAAAGATATCCACTGATTTTTAACTTAAATCCTATGAACTATAACCTATCTTATTACTAAATCTTTAGCCTGAATATTATATATATTTTTTTTTACTGACAATTGACGATTGATTTTTTTTCTTTGTTTTTCTTTTAGCTCCAAAAAATTACTGCAAATTTCATGGACATCACATATACAAATTCAGAAGGACAACACAACGGTAAGACACCTTTTACCTGAGCTGTGATTTTACACACGTTAATGATTTAAATTTCTTGTCGCTCATTCCAGCTTACAATTCTTTCCGGAGGAAGCAGATTCTGAACGCCAGGTGGACCCTCAAATGATGCTGGAATAGTTAACGGGCTCTTTTGCAATTTCTGCGTTCTGAGTGGGATTAACAACAGGCACAGCAAAAAGCTCACTGATGCCGCTGGCCAGTTTACAAATAGATTTTCCACACCCTCAATGTCAATTTCTGGCTTCCTCTGTCCACAACTTGCCACCGTGTTACCAAAAGGAAAGGCAATTTCCCGCCGTTGTGCTGACCAGAACCGGACAATTTTCGGTGCTTTCCACAGGCTTGATACACCACCGGAATATTCCTGTTGGAGCAACACATATCACATTGAACAACACAATACTCAACAAACCACTGTCACTAACTACTTACACAATAAAAAACTCGCAACACAGAAATTCATTTTTTTGCACTTCTTCACTGCTCTCTAGGCTTAGTTTCACTGGTAACGTCATATTCTTAACTTTGGCTTTTTTTATGCTCGCAGCCTTATATACCACTTTCAGCCATAAATCCCGCCAGACGCTAATTTTCCACGAAACACCATTTTCCTGGCCATTTTCAATTTTCTTTTCTTTTTTTCCAACTGTCAGAAGCCATTTTTCTTTCTATTGTGAATTCTTATTTCAACTAACCCCTGAGTCTCTCATTTGAAAATCAACGGCTGTCCAACTATTCGTTCAACCCTTTTCAAATTCGTCGCTACCCAACGTAAATTTTTCTTAATCTCATACGGCGTCGATACATCACCAAAATTTTAAATATCTCTCTTGAAATCATTTCTTATTACTCTCCTCACATTTCTTAATTTATTTAAATTTGCCACGCTTATTTCATGATCATTTATTCAAATTATTTGTCCAAACAAATTTTGATCTTATTTATAGTAGGTTCCCATCTACTTATTAATCATGCCTAGTCACCCCTTATTTTGAGTCACCCTGTCATTCACTACCTTTATACTACTCTTTTATTCAACCCTGTTTGAGCACCTAGTGAGCCCTAACAAACCATTTCCGGCATATTGATTCCATCGACACACAGACTCCACACACTGCGGAATTTCACATAAATAAAAATCTTGAAGCATCGTCAACATCCTCAATAAAATCCCAGAAAAAACCGACAAATTGAGGATCAGTCATGGGATGCATTTCCAATAAAATTGGAATAATTTCTGCGGTGGTTGTGGACATACGATGCCAAAACACACGGCCCTATAATTTGTTACCTTTTTTCCTCCGGCATATGAATGGCCTGCAACAAACCTCAGACATCAATAGAGACCTATATAACAAACTTAATGATTCCAGCCTAATTCCTTCACCCAATACCAATTTTAGTAGTATTTTGTAGTTTTCTTACAAATATAGGGCGCATTTCCAAACCCACTTCCATATCTTAATCACAGACACCAAAAGAGACCTAAATAACAAATTTCGGGATTCCAGTCTTGTTCCTTCGCCCAATACCAATTTTAGTATTACTAAGTAGTTTTCATACAAATATAGGGCGCATTTCCAAAACTACCTCTATATTTTAAATTCTGACAACATCAGAGCTCTAAATATAAAATGTTGGGATTTCTTCCTTATTCCTTCACCCAATACCAATTTTAGTATTATTAAGTAGTTTTCTTTCAAATATAGGGCGCATTTCCAAAACCACTTCCATATCTTAATCACAGACACCAACAGAGACCTAAATAACAAATTTCATGATTCCAGCCTCATTTCTTCACTCAATACCAATTTTAGTATTATTAAGTAGTTTTCTTTCAAATATAGGGCACATTTCCAAAACCACTTACATATCTTAACCAAACACACCAACAGAGACCTATGTAACGAATTTCGGCATTACAGCCTAATTCCTTCAATCAATACCAAATTTAGTTTCTTATAGTATTTTTATACCCTCAGCCATATGGCTACAGAGGGTATATATCATTTGATACGGCCAAAACGTGCCTAGTCGAAATAACGGTTTTAGACCCTAGGTCTCTTTGGACCAAATCCGTTTCAGAACATTTGGAGTCGATCTAGCGATGTCCGTCCGTCCGTCCGTCCGTCCGTCCGTCTGTCTGTCTGTCTGGCTGGCTGGTGCGCACGATAACTCTCGAAGGGAGTATCCGATTTGGTCCAAATTAGCTACAACGTAATATTTTTGTCAAACTTAGATCGAGTTCGGAGATGGGCAATATCGGTCCACTCCTTCTGGTACCTCCCCCACAAAAGGTCGAAATTTTCAAAAAATATATTTTTTGCACAGGAAGAGAAAGGATAATCCGAATTTTCTCCAACTTTGCAAATCCTAATATTTGCGTCAGTGCTAGGTCAGGTGTGAAAATAGGCAATATCGGTCCACTCCATCAAGTACCTCCCCCACAAATGGTCAAAATTTTGAATAATTACAACTCTCATAAAATGTTATGTAAGAGTCCGATTGTCTTCAAATTTCACACATCCCAATATTTATATTAACCCAAGGTCTGGTGTTAAGATGAACAATATCGGCCCACTCCTTCTGGTACCTCCCCCACAAAAGGTCGAAATGTTCAAATAATATATTCTTTGCACAGAAAGAGAAAGGCTAATCCGAATTTGCTCCAACTTTGCAAATCCTAATATTTGCAACAGTGCTAGGACAGGTGTGAAAATGGACAATATCGGTCCACTCCATCAAGTACCTCCCCCACAAAATATTGAAATTTTGAGTACCCATGAAGCTCATAAATCGCCAAATTAACATCCGATTCCATTTAGACTTGGCACATCTGTCGAAATATTTATATCATATTTTGGGTCCGATAGGAAATGGGCAATATTGGCCCATTCCTTCGGGATCTGCTCCATAGAGGGTCAAACGTTTGAATAACCTTAATACTAGTCAAAATATATTTAGATAATCGAACATAGGCTGAGGGTATATCTCTTGCGGCAATACCGACTGATACTTTTTAACTTGTTTATACAAATATTGGACGCTTTTGCAAAATCAATTCCACATCTTAACCTCAAACACCAACAGAGACCTATAACAAATTTCATGATTCCAGCCTAATTCCTTTACCAAATACCAAATTTAGTATCATATAGTATTTTTTGTACAAATAAAGGACGCGTTTGCAAAATCACCTCCATATCTTAACCTCAGACAGCAACAGAGGCCTATATAAAAAATTTCATGATTCCAGCCTTATTCCTTCACCCAATACCAATTTCAGTATTATTAAGTAGTTTTCTTTCAAATATAGGGGACATTTCCAAAACCACTTACATATCTTAACCAAACACACCAACAGAGACCTAAGTAACGAATTTCGGGATTACAGCCTAATTCCTTCACTCAATACTAAATTTAGTATCATAAAGTATTTTTTATACAAATATAGAACGCTTTTGCAAAATCACCTCCACATCTTAACCTCAAACACCAACAGAGACCTATATAACAAATTTCATGATTCCAGCCTAATTCCTTCACCAAATACCAAATTTAGTATCATATAGTATTTTTTGTACAAATAAAGGACGCGTTTGCAAAATCACCTCAATATCTTAACCTCAGACACCAACAGAGACCTATATAAAAAATTTCATGATTCCAGCCTTATTCCTTCACCCAATACCAATTTTAGTATTATTATGTAGTTTTCTTACAAATATAGGGCGCATTTCCAAACCCACTTCCATATCTTAACCACAGACACCAAAAGAGACCTAAATGACAAATTTCGGGATTCCAGCCTTGTTCGTTCGCCCAATACCAATTTTAGTATTATTAAGTAGTTTTCTTACAAATATAGGGCGCATTTCCAATCCCACTCCCATATCTTAACCACAGACACCAAAAGAGATTCTAGCCTAATTCTTTCATCCAATACCAAATATAAAATATTTGGGATTCCTGCCTTATTTTTTCACCCAATATCAATTTAAGTATTGTTACGTAGCTTTCTTAAAAATATAGGGAGCATTTCTAAAACCACTTCCATATCTTAACCACAGACAACAACAGAGATTCTAGCCTAATTGTTTCACCCAATACCAAATATAAAGTCCTTATTTCTTCACCCAAGACCAAATTTAGTATCATATAGTATTTTTGTACAAATATAGGATGCACTTCCAAACCCACCTCCATATCTTAATCACAGATACCAATAGAAAATAACAAATTGCGGGATTCCATCCTTATTCCTTCACCCAATACCAAATTCAGTATTATTTAGAAGTTTACGTACATATATAAGACGCTTTTCCAAAACTACCTCTATATTTTAACTTCTGACAACATCAGAGGCCTAAATAAAAAAAATTCCGGATTCCTGCCTTATTCCTTTACCCAATACCAATTTTAGTATTACTAAGTGGTTTTCTTGCAAATATAGGACGCATTTCCAAAACCACTTCCATATCTTAACAACAGACATCAACAGAAGCCTAAATTACAAATTTCGGGATTCCATCCTTATTCCTTCACCCAACACCACTTTTAGTATTATTTAGTAGTTTTCTAACATTTTTAGGACGCTTTTCCAAAACTACCTCTATATATTATTTTCTGACAACATCAGAGGCATAAATAAAAAATGTCGGGATTCCTGCCTTATTCCTTTACCCAATACCAATTTTAGTTTTATTAAGTAGTCTTCTTACAAATATAGGACGAATTTCCAAAACCACTTACATATCTTAACCACAGACACCAACAGAGGCCTAAATAACAAATTTCGGGATTCCATCCTTATTATCTATATATTAAATTCTATCTATATATATTTTAAATTTATATTTTAAATTCTGACAACATCAGAGGTCTAAATATAAAATGTTGGGAGTACTTCCTTATTCCTTCACTTAATACCAATTTTAGTATTATTAAGTAGTTTTCTTGCAAATATAGGGCGCATTTCCAAAACCACTTCCATATCTTAACCGCAGACACCAACAGAGACCTAAATAAAAAATTTCATGATTCCAGCCTCATTCCTTTACTCAATACCAATTTTAGTATTATTAAGTAGTTTTCTTTCAAATATAGGGCACATTTCCAAAACCACTTACATATTTTAACCAAACACACCAACAGAGACTTAAGTAACGAATTTCGGGATTACAGCTTAATTCCTTCACTCAATACCAAATTTAGTTTCTTATAGTATTTTTTATACAA